GGGCGGAAGGCACCCCCAACAGAGATGTAGGTTGCAGACAGGGGGTTCTCAAAGGCGTCGCTCAAGAATTAGAGAACACAAAGATTAAGTTCACTGGAATTCTGAGTATCGACCCCCCTGTCAGCATTCCCGCCAAGTAGCCCAATGTTAGCAGAGTAATAAGCAAAAGGATCAAGGCGAGAGGAGGTGTAAGCCTTTTTCGCAGTGGGCTTATCCTCAGCAAGGGGAGAGGTCACAGGATCATCCTCCAAGTCTATAACTGGTTGATCCTGCTTGTGAGTACTCCGCGGCTGAGAGTGCCAACCCCTGGTAGCACTTCAGAGCCAGCCTCGCAGCCCGGAAGGGCACGGCGGAAACTTGGGAAGCTCCTGGATAGTCTCATCGGGAAGCTAGAAATTAGGAGCTTCAGCAGAAGGAGATATAGTATCCTTCGCAGTGGTAGTAGTATCGGCATCAGTAGAAAAGAGCAGAACATGCTAAGCAGAAGAAGTGGGCTTTACGCCCGCAGCAGTAGTAGACTCAACCTCATCAGAGGGAAGCTTTAGAACGCTATCCACAAAAACATCAACGGTATTCTTTGGATCATCGGAAGCTTGATCAAGTGGTCTGTCGGCATTAGAGGTCTGAGGTGCCACCCGGCCGAAAGATGCTGCTTCTTAAGAGAAGCACCCTGCGCCACCAACGCCTCAGACTTTGAAGCCGTTCTTCGGGGGCAAGACGAGTTTCACGCCTACTCCCAACAGTGGAAGAGGAGGGCTCAGCTTCAGCACGACTAGATCCTACACAATCAGCAGCTGTCACATTGCCCAAGACAACCCGAAGTTTAGCTGGAGCTAGACACACCTCATTCTGCAAAGAACCAGCATATACCTCTAGAGTATCAAAAAGCTTTGGGGGATTATCAGGAATAGCTGTCATAATCTGAAAATGGGAGACAAAGAGATGAAACAACATAAGGGCCAAGGTAAAGAGGGAATAGAAGAAGGAAGAGAAAGAAAAGCAAAACTTACTAGCCTCGTATGTATGACATAAACGCATAGCAGAGAGCTGCTTGTTGCTCACAATGTACATGGAGTTAGGAAACCATATCTTGGGGTACCTCGAATCGCCTGACCCAGTTTCCTGCAAAGCATTAAAAGCTCCTGTCTCATGAGCAGGCTCACAGGGAGAAATAGTTACCCTAGCTATATTGGTGCGAATTTCTCGAAAGTTGCGCGACACGGAAAAAGTGGAAGGCACTCTCACCCAGAAGAACTTGCCAGTCCGATCCCAAAAGCGACTAAGCTTTGGGTAGGACAAAATTATGCTCTCTTTAGGAGCCACATAATTAACCCAGCCTCCGAGCTAGAAGCAGACCTTTTCAGGCTCATTAAAGACTTAAAAAGGTGCAGAGACTCAAGATACCTTCGAAACCGCAAAAACCATAGCAAGCATATTAAAGTGTGTAGAGAAGCGGGATGCAATAAAGCAATGCAGAGGTTGAAGGCGCGGAACACCCACCTTATCCAGGTCTATTCCTAAACCAAAGTCCTTCAGGTTGATGCTTTACCCCCCGATTTCCAGGTGGCCCTTCCTAAGTGGATGTTCAGGGGTCGTCTGAGTTGAAGACACTTTATGAGATTTAGCGGAGCTGTTAACCTCAGCCTCCATCTAAGTAGCTTTGGGTTTCTTCATGTAGGAGCGAGGAGCACCCTTGCCTCCATCCTGAAAACACATTGAGACACCAAGTACATAACTTGCAAAAGCCACCTATGGTTGAAAATAAACAGTAAAGTTCAAGGTAGTTGGGTCAGGCAGGGTATAACTGTCCCTTGGCTGCAAGCTCTGCCCTTTGCTTCTCTGTCTTATCCTTGCGGATATGGGCTATTAACCGTCTGGGAGTTTTGTCCTCTGAAACCATTTATCTCCCCTTTTCTGCAATGAAACCGCCCCTAAGTAAAAAAAAAAAAAGATAAAAACGACACAAATGCAGTACAAACGACATAATAATTATCGGGTGTATATGAAACATACGTCTACTAAACATAGTAATAAGGCCATAGGCGGGCAAGAACGTCTTGTCTCTTAGCCACTTGTGCTTGGGTATAGTGCTTCGGCACTAATATGAGTTCCCTAGTTGAAAGGATTCATCAATTTGTTTTAAGAAGCCTGACTCAATGATTCTCTCAAAGTCTTCACCCGGAATCTAGAGGAGGGCACAATTTTCACCCAATAGGTCAGGTTGCCTGTTGTACCGGCGGTACTCGTGGTTTCTTGCCTCTTAGGGGTAGAAACCTGATAAAACCGCTCCTTCTAGTTATCCCACTTAGACATTTGTCTAAGTTCATTTGGTATTTTGGGTACGTAATAAGAGTATATCACGCCAGCCAGCCACTTGGGCTGCGACTGAGATAGTGCATATGTGCAAAGGCCTCTCAGTTGGGGTGAAGCCCTTGCCATTTGTTGGTTAACCTAGGAGTTTGGGGTCAACTACCACATGCCTATGCCATATCATCTGAGGATAACCTTTATTGCGTCATGGAGAGGTAAGTGGAGACCGACTAAGAATGCCGCCTCACAACAGCCGAAATAGTTGTCGGCGTTTCTTCATTCTTCTTCCCAGGTGATGGTGCCAAATTCAGGCGGCACCCGGATATTGTATCCTTCGCCAAAATCGCCCTTGAGTTTAAAGTTGTCCAAACCCTTTCCAATCACAGCTTTATCTTTTGCCGAAACATGGATCTCGGTTGGGTTGTTTACGTCTTTCCATTTTTGGCACTCTTCTTCCTCTCTTTCCTCAAGTAGGGGAAGGTTGTCATCACTACTATCTTCATAACTAGACCCGGAGGCGGTGTTACCCCCATCTCTTTCCTGAGAAGCCTCATTATCAGAGACATAGGCAGAGGTGGCCTCTTCCCCGTCTACATCTTCGGGCCCCATCTCTTAAGAGCCAGCATTGAAGGTGGCCTCTTCCTCGTCTTCCCCCTTAGACTCATCTAGGATCCCACTACTTAGGGTTTTAAGGATCCTAAAAGGGAAGTGAGCTTCTTGGTCCACCAGCATATTGTCCCCCTCAACCAGTGTTACCTCGTCATATGGTACCTCCAACGTACTATCTCTCCTTTGCCGTCTTTGGGCAGTTGGCTTCACTCGAGCCATTGTATCCTGCACAAACACAAAGATGGTCAGTTTAGGGGATGTAAAATGTTGCTCCATACAGCAGAGCTAACACCCTCAGTCCTAGACTCAGCCGTACCAGGAGACCGGCTGACTACTGACCTAGGCTGTGCCTTGTGTATTGGCGTTGAATCCATTTATTGAATATAAACGTACAAACGAAAAAATGAGTTGAAAGGGGTAGAGACGGTATCTTGAGATATGGCTCTATAGGATGTCAGGTGTTGTCCGTCTGTAATAGGTGGGCAGGCAGCGTTTTTGCTTGTATACAGCACAAGCAGTTGTTAACCAGCTGGACAGGCGAACATAAAAGAAGTTGTTTGTGAATAACATAGACGGTTATCAAACACTCTCTCCGTCTAGAAAACTTTGACTTTCTCTCACTAGATTTTTTTAAAACGTAAAAAATAAGGTAAAAGTCATATTTATAAAGGGATAAATTTAGGGGCATTCCTGTAATTTCCCCTTGTAATTTCCGAATCATGTGAAAGGTTAAACCTAAATTCATAGTTAAAATTAACCTATCAGTTTAAGAGTGACAAATTTCACAAATGCCACATGGCATGCCACGTCACATTTGTGAGCAACAAATGTTTTAGGTAAAAATATCCATACCAAGTGGCCCAATTACAAGGTGACACATGTCACCCTAAGAGAGGTCCAAAGTTGATCAATCGCTATTCGACAGGTCTCCCTCCTAGATTGTTGGGAAAAAGACTGCCTTTATGGCCCAAATTCTGTAACCTAGGCAGTGACACAATTCCTGATGACCCTATATATAAGTAGATTCCCCCCCACCTTTTAGGGTCACGTTAATTTATTACATCAGAGAATTCACCTGATCTCGGAATCCGAGAAGATCTCACTTTTACCTTTCTGCACTTTTTACTCTCTTCGTTTGATACTAACATGATTGTCGGAAGTAAAGCTCCAACCAACCAGAGTCTCCGTGTTTTGCAGGTACAGACCGCGAAGGACCAGTCTTGGTGACGTAATTCTCCCGAGGGACCAGAAAACACCCAAAATAGTAACCATATCTATACTCATATTTAATAATAGGAACTTTTTATATTCTTATCTCATTTATCATATTCTTATTGGTCCATAAGTTTTTCATGAAGGGTTGTGATAATATGTTATTTTTATAATTTTTTGGTTTTGTGATTTTAATTTGTAAATTATTTATTTTGCTTTTTCATTTTTTTTTCATAATGAGTTTTTTTTTTTAATCAAAATCCCATTATACTTTCGCTTATATTACAACAATTTTCTTCCAAAAAAAGAAAGATATAAAATTTTATTTTAAATTATAAATAATTTGAAAAAGAATATCTGAAATTATAATAAATATTTTAGCAAAAACTTATAAAATTAGAATATTACTCATATGATTTGATAAAAAGTTGAACCTGTGCATGGATGGTATGAATGCTAGTTACCCTTTTCAAAACTGTATCTTGAAAAAAAAAATCTTTAATTTACAATAAAAAATCATAATATGTTATAAATTCTTACAAGGATATTAAAAGTTATTTAATCTCAACGATGTACAAAAAAAATGTTATACACCACTTGTAGCCAAATTATTTCAATTTATGTAATATATTTAAATTTTAGATCATAAAAACAATTAAGATACTAAGTAAACGAAAAAGAAAACAATAATTAAAGGGGTAGTGGTTGGCTAAAAATAATAAAAATTTATTTACTATTTTTAAGGATTATATTAACTAAAAAACTTTCGTGTAAATCAATCGATCTGAGTTATTAACTTCCTTCTTAATATTGAGAAGCGTGTTTATTTTAAGGACTACACCTCCTAATTTTAATGCATCTTTCATAGCCCCATTTTTTGGTGAAGAACCTTTTTTTGCTCAGTTTGGTTTTCTCAATTTTCATCTTATATAAAATGCACTTTTGTTTAAATGAATGAAACAAAAAAAAAAAAAAAGTAAAGGCCGAGCAAAAAGAAAAAATACAAATGGCAAGACAAGTTTGCATTATTTCTGCAAGTTTACTTCTTATTAGCTTAGCAATTACATGTACTGCACAAACACAGATTCCAGCAAATAAAGGTGAAATAAATACATGGTTTCAAAATGTAATCAAACCAATGAGGTATACATACTACTAGTAAGGAATAACTGATTTTATTCTTATTTTTATATTATCTAATGTTCTATTGATTTTAAGCAAAATGTCTTTGTATATTCATAAATTTCTTGGCAATGGTACTAACTAGTTTGTGCATGTATTCTGTAACTTTGGTACTGTTACATCGGTTGTTTTGGTGCAATATTCTAAAGTAACATTTAAGTCTTTAAATCTTTAAGTCAAGTCTGATCATTATATATAATTAATTAATAATTAAATGAGTGAAGTATATTCGAAGACCCATTACGAAGGCTTTATTTATTTATTTTTTTATAAACATGAAAATTTTATTTAACTTTGTTAAATGTATTAATATCTTTCTACGTATTTATGCTTAATAATTACATAAAAGTGACTCATAGCTCCATTATAACGTTTTTATTTTCATTTTATGTTTTTTTGGCAGCCAAATAAATGGAAAACTAGATCCTAGTTTAATGGAGGCCGAAAACAATGGGGTCGAAATTATTGAAGTTAGCCAAGATGGAAAGGGAAAATTTAAAACAATATCTGATGCTGTAAAGCATGTTAAAATAGGAAATACTAAACGTGTCATCATAAAAATTGGTCCCGGTGAATACAGGGAGAAAGTAAAGGTTGAAAGATTTAAGTCATTTGTAACTTTTTACGGGATAGATTCCAAGAATAGACCAACAATAACTTTTGCTGGAACAGCTGCTGAGTATGGGACTGTAGATAGTGCAACATTGATTGTGGAGTCTGATTACTTTGTTGCTAAAAACATTATTGTTTCGGTATGCAACTCTTATTCTTCATCCCTTTTATTTTATTTATTTATTATATTTATATTACTTTGTTTATTTACTTATTCAATATATTTTACTGTTATCTCGAACCTATAATCTAAAAATTAAAAGTATACATAAATATTTAATTTAATTTTGATTATAATTAAATATTCTTACATTAATTATAAAATAATACGTTATATGGAATTAATGGGAAGTAATTTTACCATTATTTGACATATAAGTAAAATTCTAAGTTATTTCAAAAAAAAAAAAAAAAAAAAAGAAGTAGAATTCTAAGTTATTCGAGGAAAACCGACTTATTGTTCACAAATTTGTTATTGTAGAACTCTGCTCCTAGGCCGAATGGAAAGAAGAAGGGAGAGCAAGCTGTAGCGTTGAGAATATCTGGTGATAAAGCTGCATTTTATGATTGTAAATTTACAGGATTTCAAGATACACTTTGTGATGATAAAGGCAAACATTTCTTCAAAGATTGTTATATTGAAGGAACGGTTGATTTTATCTTTGGTGCAGCCAGATCTTTATATTTGGTATAACAAATTTTTTGCATGCTTTAACTAATAAGATATATTCAGTTAAATAAATGTATTATAATTTATTAATGTGCTTAATCACCAAACTAATAAAAAAGTATCATGTACAGAATACCGAGTTGCATGTTTTGTCGGGTGATAATGAGGCAATGATCGTAGCTCATGCAAGGAAAAATCCAAGTGAAGAGGGTGGATACTCCTTTGTCCATTGTCCAGTTACTGGAACAGGTGGTCATGCAGCGTTAGGCAGAGTATGGTTTGAAGCAGCTCGAGCTATATACTCTTATTGTACCATTAGTGATGTTATTAAACCCGAGGGCTGGTCAGATAACAACAAGCCAGAAGCACAAAAGTAAATTAACCATTTCATGTTTTATTTTTTTCTTAAACTGTACACTTTAAATCAGTTTGATAAGTGATTTAATGATGGAGTACATCTTTAATATTTTGTGTGTAGGACAATTTACTTCGCAGAGTATATGAACACGGGTCCAGGCGCATCACTTGCTAAAAGAGCTCCATTTACCAAGAAGTTGACAGCTGTAGAAGCTAAAACATTTATCAGTTTGGAGTACATAGATGCAGGCAAATGGCTACTTCCACCTCCCAAATTGTGAAATTTGATAATTTCATAACAAAAAGTGTTAAATAGATTTATATTAACAATTCTAGAGAAATCTATTAGAGCACCTTTATAATTAATGATACATGCGTTATAATCAAGTAGATATATAAGCTTTAATACAACTAAGTTTGTAATATAGCTCCTACGTAGTTAACTAAAAATAGATTTTTTTTTTTTTTTTTTGGAAATTGTTAAAATAATCCAAATGAACAAAATTAATGGGAGATTTAAATTATGTAATACTTATACATTAAGATTATTATTATTATAATTTCCATTATTATAGTCCCGATTTTCTACTATGGGTGTTTCACATGGTCAAATATATGCATTGATTTTGAGGGTGTTTTATTGTACCAATTTACTTCAAACCGTACTGTAGGGAATATTTTAAGTCAACCCACAATTGAGCCTCACTGTGATCATACACTTAAGTATGGTGGCACCCAAATAGAAGAAACCTAGAGTAAAAGAGTCGCCAACAAGTTTTCGGAACACGCCCTAAAAATAGGCCTCTACTTTTCTCGTATTCATGTGCGTTTTCTGACTAACATGAAATCAATAGGTTAACCCTAAACCTGTTTAATCTATGTTGGTTAAATATTAATGCACAAATAAAACTATTATTGGCGATCACTTGAATTATTATCATGTTAACCTAATCAAGATTATTAATTATCTTATTAAGCGTGATTACAAGTACAATTTCCCTTACACAATCATAAAAGGTGTGATCAAGCAATAACAATAATAATATATATATCAAGCAACATTATCATCAAAACAACAATAATCATTAAAATAATAATTATAATTATCATAATCATAATCATAATCATGATAAAGCATAATAGTATTAGCAAGATCCTAGGCATGATACTAAAAAGATTAATAACAAACCCTATCATGTCACTAAACATTAAAGATCAATTAGCCCTAAAATGATACTAACATGATATTAGGAATGAAATAGGAAGCATCATAATAAACATACTTAATATTAGAAATTTTAGTTATTATTACCCTAAACATGATAATAGGAAGCAATATAACATCCAAACATAATACTAAGAATTAACGAAATAATCTAAGTATGATTTCTATAATAATAAAGCAATTAATACTTGAATGCCTCGTATCTCTTTCGAATAACAAAATACACACGTTAATAACTTCAAGGAAAATATTAAATCAAAACAATTAAATTAAATAATAATTGAAATAGAGATTTGGGACCAACCCCTCAGAAAATATTCAACCTTTCACGTCTAGAGCAAAGGCAACTTCGAATTTTGCTAGGTGTGTCTAGAAATAACGAGTAAGGAATTTCGAGAGAAGGAAGATTTAGAAAAAGAATAGAGAGAGAGAGAAAGCTTCTAGCTTTTAGCGAGAGAGAGAGAGAGAGAGACATGATGGTTGTGAAATATGAAAAATGGAGAAATACGACCCCTATTTATAGGAAAAATAGCCGGGATCAAAGAAAATCATATTCGAAATAAAATACCTCCTATCGCCAACAACAGGAGTCAATGCATGACGACAAGCTCGTCACCAGGTGACAGCTGTCAGCGCCAGGCGACGACTATGTCATCTCACGCTGATTCACTAGTACAACAAGCATTCGTACGTGGAATCATCTTTTAAACGGGTTAACATGTAATTCCTTGTCTAAGCAGATTTAAAAATCAAATTTGTGAAATAATATATTTTTATTCAAAATCAAACATCTCTTAAAAATATAATTATCAATCCTAACCTTATTATAATTAAAAAGAACCTTCTAGATATTCCTAGAAGATTAAAATCAATTCTAATCACTTTAAGAATAATAATTAATAAGCCCTCCTCTAGATCATTGGACCACATTTAAAACCATTGGGCCTAATTTAATTTAATCCTTAACTTCCTCATTATTCATCGAAATTGGGCTTATAATGTATCGTTGGAAATCTCTTTTCAAACCCAATCCTACTACACTATTATTGGACCCTTATCATGGACCAAACCAAATTGGATTGGCTATTTTTCATAAATAGGGTAAGAAAATAACTATTTTTGAAAACAGAAAGAGAAATATTTTAATAAAAATACCCTCATCACTAGACTTTTCACACTTTCACTTTGTTCGATAATTAATTGACGTGAAAGGTATTCATCACTGGGGTTGGTTTTGGGGACACAAACAGAATCCCCCACTTTAACTGAGTTTGGAGAAACGTAAGTTTCGAAAACAAAAGTTAAAGTAGCGATAGGGAAGAAGAATGATTCAGAATATTTTGCGATCCTAAATCATTCTTGCAACGCTGATACCTGCAAACTAGCGTTAGTTGAAACAGATAAAAGAGTTAAGAAATGTGTATCTTGCATCGTCGAGCACAAGTCTCTGGAGTAACCGATTTTGTTTGACGATGTTCCTCAAGCTAGAGGATACCACCTAAGACTACCACGCTTGTAGCTTCCTTTAATTTCCGTTGTTTTATGACCATCCTCCATATCTTAGGGAACACGATTGAAGATAACTTCGCTTGAAGGCACCTCCTATTTTCTGACAACCTTCCACTACCTAGGGAACGCCGTCGAAGATAACTTCGCTTGAAGCCATCCTTAGTATTCTAACAACCTTCTACATCGTAGGGAACGCCGTCGAAGATAACCCCGCTTGAAGCCATCCTCATGTTTTTTGACAACCTTCCACATCCTAAGGAACGCAGTCGAAGATAACTTTCCTTGAAGTCATCCTCAGTTGTTGTGATAATATTTTGAGGAAAATTACCGAAGACAAACTCTTGTTGATCCATAAAGCTCGCTTGAACTTTGCTGCTGTGATATTTGATGAAATTACCGCGGTGCCAATACGTCGGCGCATTTTGCTACTTGTGAACCATTACGTCGGTGCTTGCGATAAGCCAATGTTTAGGTGCTTTAAGCTAAGTGAGACAATCTTTTATCAGGTCGATCACCCATTATGATTGTAATTTAGCCTATTACTAAATCATGTCAAATTGCTTATAGGGGCTAACTGGCATACCAAGGAACCTGAAATTGCTGCATAAGGTCCGCATAGTCATCTATGGGGGCCACATATCCTGTAGCCGCACCAGCACACGCCGAAACACGCTGTTGCAAGGATTTTTCTTTGTCGCCAGGCGACGAGCTTTAGCGCATGGTGACAACCTTTTCGTCTGTCGTTGGAGTCGTTGTTGTTGCTGTTTGTTGCTCGATTTCAGTTTCGCTCTGAACCTTCAACTTGGTCGTTTCCTTTCAACCAAATTCGGTCAAATCTTTTGCAAATTAAAGCTCTTCATCTATAATTTACCAATCCATGTAAGTTTTTCTCAAACTCCTCTTATCTTGGAAGAATTTCATGCGTTTATATTCGTGGTTTTTCAAAAAATCCGGGAACGTTCTTGCTTGCTTTCTCTTTGGAAGTGATAGTTTCCTATGCCTTGAAACTCTGTCAAAAATCCATTTCAAACGAGTTTCTTGATCGAAATCTTGAAGTGCTTATTCAATTAGGCTTATCTTCAATATAAATGCGATTAGGTCGATTCTAGTTTATTTGCTAAGCCATTTGCGTCCTTTTGCTTCAAATCTTTTGTACCTGCATTTATATTTTGGACTATAGGACTTTACTCATATTTTTTTTAGGGTTTACCTTACGCTTAGTGTTGCTCGACTCATTGCATAATACTTAATGTGTTTTTAACACATATGACTTGTCATGACTCGACTCAAAGCGTTTTGACACACGTGGCTTGACATGACTCAAGGTGTAAACTTGACTTAATGTGATTGACCAACTCGAGGTCGACTCAACTCGATTGTGACTTGTGTGTGCAAAGTATTGACTCATGAGACTCGATATATAGATGACTTATGTGTGCATTTGACTCGAAAACGTAGAAAAAAAAAAAATTTCTGTCATTTTTATGGAGGGTAAGCTAATGATGTAGGGATCAAGCCCCTAAGCTTAGCTCTAAATGGATAAGGATGAGAATTGGAGATCCTTTGATATGATCAATTATGAACGTAAATATGAATGCATTTTTATTACGGCCGCAATCCAACGTGAGGTTCCCTACTGTAGAAACCTAAAAATGTCTCCCCGAAACCAAATCCTGCTCTCTTTATCTCTTTTAAACAAAAAATCAATCTATTCTCTTTCTCCCATATTCTAAGCCTTAACCATATATTCCTGATTACACCTTTCTTCCCTTAAGCACTCCAAGGAGTCAATACTTAACCTGAGGTTCCGTCCTTAAACCAAGGCTTGAAAGGTACAATTGACGGAGGGTATGGACCAAATCAAATCTACATTTTTTTAATTTAATTCTCATTTGATTTATATTTTTTATTAAAGTTACTAACAATTTATTCATGATGTAGCAATTTTATGGAACGCGCGAAATGTGGGTAATTAATTAATTTAATTACTTATTTTATTTTTAATATTTCTAGTATTATGATTAAGTTAATTTATATTCGATTTGACTAACGATATTTATTGTTGAATTGCTTCCAATATTAATACTTATTCTATTATTATTATGATCACCATATTGCATATTTAAAGAGAATATGTAATTGAAAATCACGCCTAATAGATAATTTAGATAACCGGTTTAGGTTCCTTTTTAATATTGTTTTTAATTCAAGTGATCACGATATTTTAGAATTATGTATTGCATTAATATTTAACCAATTTAGCATAATAATAGCTTGGATCAAATTGAATTTTTATTTGTATGCCTTTGAGAGCGAAGGAATCACTTTTCATAATAATAATCGAGTAGAGGCCAATGCGGGCTAATGTGACTCCATAAGTCACTTCGTACCATCATCTCAAGTCCTCCTTTCGTGGTTCTGAACCATGTGGAGTTAGTAATATCATGGATTATGAATTGGGTGTAACCATCATAGGTCAATCATTGTTGCCTATCGTTGTCCATTAATCGTGGTTGCCTTTTATGATCCGTGAACGGTTTACAAGTTCCTTAAAAACTTGTTGGCGGCTCCCTACTTTCCTTGTCCCTAATCGTATTATGTCAATTCCCACTTCCTATTAGTGCGAAGCATATTCACACATGCTTAACCTAGGCACACTTCAAACGATGCCTACAATTTGGCGACTCGATTCTTTGTTATTTATCGATTTGAGTGATCGATATTTAATTAAAATGAGTGGATGAGACTTGAAAGATTCTTGAAAATATTCCTATGATTAAATTGGCATTTTTACATATGCTTAGACGTTTTAACGTCGTATTTCAGGCCTATCCCGTAGGAAAAATTGGATAACCTGGTCGTGAAGGAAGAAAACAGAGGCACCAGTTAGATTTCCTGACTGTCGCGCCACGGCAGAGCTTGCCGTGTCACGGCGCTAGGCACTGTCACGCGGTGTTTAGCACCGTGACACAGTAGATTCTGCCGTGCCATGGCATTCCTGAAATCTTTCCAGTGGCTTTATTGCTCTTCTCACATTCAATTACCTTCGATTTTTCTGAAAAACGTGTGTGTTCTACATACGTCTCAACCTCGGGGGCTGGGAAATCCTACAACCGCTGAATAAAAAGCTCCTAAACCAGCAGACTCCCACAAGGAGTTCGTAACAGGATCCCTCATGATAATCCCATATAGACGGGGAATCAAATCTTTAGCTCTGGATCCATGATGGCGAAGCGTGCCATCGACTATGCCGACAAGTGGACGGTGAGAAATGTGGTTCTCACGACAGAAAACCAACTCGTCTGGTGTCCACGGAGGTGGAATCCACCTACCCCTACTCGAAGAAGGGCGAGGCTCCGTCTCTAAGGCATCGTCGTCCATGCCCTCAAGAACTGTGGGTGTGTCCTCTCGAAAAGCTTGACGCCAGCCATGAGTAGAAAGATCGTGATCTCGTTGTCTAGGCATGCTATTACAAAAATAAAAATCTAAATTCTTAGTATCATTTTCTAAGTTATTTAGTTATTTATTCAAAAGCGGCTTAACAGCTACCTCAAGTTGCATTTTCTATTATACGCAAAATTTTTACCTTAGGGGTTCCTAGGTATAAATAGGAAAAGCTAGACATTATAACACTCATGTACACTCACTCACATTTCAATATAAGCTAATTATTCTACTTTTGTCTACGGATCTGTATCCCTGCTGAACAAGGAAGCCTGTCTTTACTCAGTATAGTATCTCTAAACTTGTCTCTTTGATGTTATTGAATACTTATTGCTTATTCATTGGTTATTTACTACCTTGTTATCATTCTAAATTGCTTTATATGTTATTGGTGGAATGATTGTTATTACCCCTCAAAACCTAGCAAATTCTTAGATGTCCTAGCTGAGATTTGCCTAAACAATTTAGCGCCCACCGTGGGGCTGATAATCAATTAACCTACCAATTCGGCAAAAACCAAGACAATCACTATGACTGGATAGCCAGTACCTTTCACCATTGCCGAAATCAATGAAGGAATGAAATCGTTCCGTCAAACCTTAGACCAGCAGAAAAGCCAAATTGAAACACTATTGGCAAAAAAGGTTCAAACCGAAGCCAAACTCACCAGTCTCACCAAACAAAATGAAACCCTCCGCATCCAAATACAATCAATTGCATCCAAAACCTTTAACACCAGAAAGAGTACCAAAAGCATAGCCATGCAGCTTGATATGTCCGGAACCTTTCACACCCCAAACGGGAAAAAAGGATCAAACAGCAGGGAAACGCCCATGGACCTAGATTTTCAGGATGCAAGAACCCTCAAGAAGAACAGGTAGGAAGGAACCGAAGAGGGAAAAATAGAGAAGGTGGTTAAGGAGTACCTCAAGGCCTTTGAGGCCATGATCGCCAAAATCCCAAAAGTTCCAAAGCCCATGGAGGATGAAGCAGCGGATGGCTATATAGAATCTCCTTTCTCAGAAGAGATCGCCATGGTAGAAGTGCAAAAGAGGTTCGCCCGCCTAACATTGCCATGTATGACGAAACAACAAACCCTGATGAGCACGTTTCCATCTACAAGTAGAAGATGATGACAAGCTCAATCCCTAGAGACATCAGAGAAGCCATAATGTGCAAAGGCTTTGGAGCAACATTATTAGGTCCAGCCCTAATTTAGTTCATTAATTTAGATAATGGGACAACTTGATCTTTTGTAGGAATGGTGAATCTATTCAAGATCCAATTTGCTAGTAGTAGAAAAATCGAGAAGCAATCCTCAGATCTGTACCGTGTTGTGCAAAGACACAGTGAATCCTTAAGGGACTATCTTAACATGGAGGTTCAATAGGGAGAAGATTGGGATACACAAATGTGATGCTCCTACAATAATCAAAGCATTCAGAAGAGGGTTGCTAGACCATAGTGAGCTCTAAAGTGACTTGACCAAATATCCCTGTATGACCTTTGAGGATGTGCAAGCCAAAGCTATGGTTCAAGTCAGATTTTTAGAGGATGTCTATGCAAGAAAGACCCCAGAGCCAGATCGCCAGTCAAGAAGGAGTAACAACTTTCCCAGAAGAGACCATCGATTCAAGCCGTATCAACGTTCTCGCTTTGATGAATGATTAGTCAAAGCTGTCGATGGAGAATTCTTAGATTGGAGGGAAGATCTTGAACTCCCACCTAAATTGCATGAATATTGTTTCAATGTTAACCTTGCAGGAGTAATTAAGACCCTAAACAAGATGGGAGATATGGCCCAGAAAGAGTGATGGACCTGGAGAAAAGAAGGATCCGTCAAGATGGTGCGACTTCCATTCAGATAGTGGTCATAAAGCTCATGAGTGCGTTGCGCTCAGGAAGGAGGTTGCTTACCTGTTGAAGAAAGGGTTTCTCAAATAACTTCTATCAGACAGATCCATAGCTCAAGGAAAGGAAAGAGAATATAATTAAGGAGGTCCCACACCTCCTCCTCCAATTGTCAAAACTATTTGTTCCATATCAGGAGGGTCAGAAGTATGCGGCTTAACATACTTAACAGCGATAAAGATCAGCCTGACAGTAGGGAAAGGTAAAAAATGAATTTCCCCATCATGTTTGAAGAAAGCGATGCAGTAGAAGGCCATCATGACGGCCTAGTGATTTCACTCCCGGTTGGAAACTGTATGATCAAGCGAATCCTTGTTGACAACGGAAGCTCCGCAAACATCATCATGTTTGATAGTTTGAAACATATGAACATCGACGAGAAGAACATCATCAACAAGTCAACAATGCTGGAAGGATTCAGTGGGGAAACCAAGAAGACAAGTGGAGAGATCACATTAGCCACCTATCCAAAAGGGGTCAACTTACAAGTCAAGTTCCCGGTGATCGACACTTTGTCATCATATAATATGATTCTAGGTAGACCATGGATACATGAGATGAAGGCCATCACCTCCACGTACCATCAAGTCATTTAATTCCCTACTAGATGGGGTATTCATGAAATCAGAGGAGACCCTAAAGAAGCCAAGGAATGCTAAAAGATCGCACTAAAGGAAACATCTACAGAGAAGAGTTAAGCATAGCAATCAGAGGGTCAGCTGGGCCAGGAGAAGTTTACTATAGCTGAAGAACAAGAAGCCACAGAAGTCCAGCTGAACCATAACCACCTAGATCAGAAGGTGAGGATAAGATAAGAATTGAATTCAGATCTTCGTCAACAAATTTATGAATTCTTAGAGAAAGAAAAAGATGCGTTCGCTTGGACTAACGAAGACATGAAGGGCATCCCCCCAGATGTGATCACCCACAAACTGAACGTAGACCCAATGCATACGCTACTAAAGCAGAAAAGAAGAAAATTTGCGCCAGAAAGGAACAAGATCATCAATGAGGAAATCCAAAACCTATTGAAGACATGAAAGATTATAGAAGTAAAGTACCCAGAATGGCTTGTTAATGTAGTTGTGGTCATAAAGAAGAACGGACAATGGCGAATCTGTGTTGACTTCACAGAAATCAACAAGTCCTGTCCAAAAGATCCGTTCCCATTACCTCACATTGATGCCATGGTAGACGGAACAGCAGGGCACGCGCTTCTATTTTTCATGGACGCATACAGTAGGTACAATCAAATCCTTATGCACAAAGATGACCAGGAGAAAACCGCTTTCATCACTAGTCAAGGAATCTATTGCTACAAGGTAATGCCTTTTGGATTAAAGAACGCAGGAGCGACATACCAAAGGCTGGTGAAAAAGATGTTTGAGTAACAGATCAGGAACACAATGGAGGTCTACATACACGACATGGTAGTTAAATCCAAGAAGGTAGCTGATCATGTAAAATACCTTAGAGAAGCCTTCGTCATCTTGAAGCGGTACGACATGAAGCTAAATCCTAAAAAGTGCAGATTCGGAGTTCAGTCAGGAAAGTTCCTAGGATACATGGTAACGCATAGAGGAATTGAAGCCAACTCAGATCAAGTCAAAGACATCCTGGACCTGGAACGACCAAAATTAAAGAAGGATGTACAAAGCATAACAGGGAAAATTGCAGCACTTAAACAGGTTCATCACGAAATCTTCAGACAAGAACAGAGCCTTCTACGAAGTCCTAAAGAAGAATAAGGAATTCAAATGGGAACAAGAGCACGACAAAGCATTTCAGAAGTTAAAGGAATACTTAGCCAGCCTGTTGTTACTCTCTAAACCAAAAGAAGGGGAGCCACTTCAATTGTACCTCATAGTATTTTAAGGGACGGTTAGCGCTGTCCTAACCAGAGAAGAAGACAAAGAGAAATTTCCAATCTACTACGTAAGCAAAACCTTACTCAGTGCGGAAATGAGCTACGCATCCTTAGAGAAAATCATTTTAGCTTTAGTTACTGCTTCAATAAAGCTACGCCCATACTTTGAAAGCCATTCTATACGAGTACGAACCAACTACCCCATCAAGGCCATCATGAGAAAGCCAGAAATGCAGGAAGTATGGAGAAATGGGCCCTACATCTAAGCAGGTACGATATACAATGCGAGCCTAGAACCGCAATCAAGTCACAAGCTCTGGCAGACTTTGTAGCAGACTTCAGCCCAGCCATTGAGCAAGAAGCACAGAAAGAGGTATTGGCCATATAGGAGCAAAAGGCTACACAGAAATGGACACTCCATACAGATGGCGCAACAAACATACGCGGTGTAGGCCTAGGAGTGGTGCTTACATCACCACAAGAAGACAAAATAGCACAAGTAGTAAGGTGTAACTTCAAGGCCACCAACAATGAAGCCGAGTACGAAGCACTAATCACAGGGTTAAATGTCGCAAGAGATATGAAGATACAACATCTAGAGGTAAGCTCAGATTCCTTACTCATGGTAAATCAAATCAATGGGGAATACGCAACAAAGCACGCCAGGATGATAGCCTACCTAGAGGTAACAAGAAGACTCATTAAGGAATTTAAGGAGTTAAAAATAGACCAGGTACCCAAAAACTTAATAACTGAAGCAGACGCCCTGACAAACTTGGGGTCAATTATTAACCTTGAAAAATTTGGAGCCATCCTCCTAGTACACGTATTATCTCTAATGATAGAAAAGGAGTCAACTATGAATGTCTACGAAATTCAAACAGATCCTAAAGGGAAGGAAGAAAGTAGCTGGATGAAACCTCTCAAGGACTACCTCCTAGACTAAACAGTACCAGCAGGAAAGTGGCAGGCAAAGAACTTGCCTTAAAAGCCTCAAAGTAATGCCTAATCAGCAACGTACTCTTCAAAAAGTCTGTAGCAGTTCCCTTCTTACGAAGCTTAGAAAAAGAAGAAGCACAACAAGTCCTAAAGTCCCTACACAATGGTGAATGCGGAAATCATGCAGGAGGGAGAAACCTAGCCAACAGAGCACTCAGAATGGGATATTATTGGCACAGCATGAGAAAGGACGCCGGAGAATTTTCCAAGAAATGCTTAGCATGCCAAAAACACGCACCTTTAACACACAAGCCATCTGAAGGGTTGCACCCAACATTGACACCTTGGCCATTCATGAAGTGGGGAATGGACATAGTAAAATTACTTCCATCATCATGACAGAGAGTGTACTTCTTAGCAATGATAGATTACTTCTCAATATGGGTCGAAGAAGAAGCGTACAAAGAAATCAAGGATAAGCACGTCATCTCATTTATCAAAAGGAACATCCTAAGCAGATTTGGAGTACCAGCAGAGATCATAACACACAACGGGTCCCAGTTCATCAGCAACAGAACCACAAAGTTCTGTAAAGATTGGAATATTTCCCTTATCACGTCTACACCAAGATACCTACAAGCAAATGGAAAACCAGAGTCAAGCAATAAGGTCCTAAAAGGTAACATGAAGAAAAGGTTAGAAGGAGCAAAAGGGAAATGGGTAGAGGAACTAACCAACATAATGTGGGCAGACAGAACAACTTCAAAAGGCGCTACAGGTCACACCCCCTTTTCATTGGTGTACGGATGCGAAGCAGTAATCTCAACAGAAGTAGAAGTCCCCACATCAAGGTACGGGTTGATGACAGAAGAAAGGAACCAAGCTGAACTAATGCATAACCTAGACATGGTAGAGGAACTAAGGGGAGACACAAGAATTAGGATGGAAGCCTACCAGCAAGAAGTAGCAAGGTCCTTTAACAAGAATTTCAAAGCGAAAGTTTTCAAATTAAGGTATTAGGTCCTCATAATGGTGTACGAAAATACCAGAGAGGTAAACGCAGGAAAGCTAGCGCCCAACTGGGAAGGACCCTATGAAATCATCAAGGTAGTAGGTAACGGAGCCTACAGACTCAAGAGCGTAGAAGGAAAAGAGGTACAAAGAAGCTGGAACACAGCACACTTAAAGCTCTATCATTTCTTAAGAGCAAAGGTATGTAGTTATCGTTAAAATTTCGTTTTTCAAAAAAAAAAATAAAAAAAAAAATAGAAAAACAAGCAAAAACGCAAAAAAAAAAAAAAGGAAAAACAGGAAAAAAACAAAAATCTCCAACAGCCAAAATCGGCATGGAAGGTACTCCGCTTCACTTATATTTTGCCAATTCAATTTATATTTACTACGAGTACTGACTTTGGCATCGGAGGGCTATTGGGAAAACCCACGGCCACCCCTCACCCAATTCTGTTTTGCAAGGACAACAGCTACGCTGCCATACAAAGTTCAACAAAGCATAAAAAGACAACGACTATCTATCCCTGCAAGGAACAAATCAATTATCCCCACAAAGCAAAAAAACACTAGCAGCAAATACATTTAAGCAATATTACATCCATACTACAACTGTAACACAAATGTGATACAGTAAGAAACACAAGCACAACATAGCAAAAGAAGTAAGATTACTTAGTTGCAAAGAGCAACAAAATGAGCAAATCATCCAGCTACAACAAGGCAGCACAAAAACAAAATAAAATATCCAACTGCACTAGGGCAGTAAAAACAAACATTCTTCAAAGAAATTTAAATATTGTTCAGAACGAAAAGGTGACGCAACACCATTCAAACTAATTCTCCCCCATGTTATCAATAGGGACCACCTCCTAAGCAACAGGCTTCAATTTTTCAGGGACATCCTTAACCTCATTATTATGAGGAGAGTTCACCTCTTCATCAACAAAGCTTAACATCAACGAGCCAGGAGCAGCAGTCCCTTCAGAAAACGCTTTCTCAAAAGCAACCTTATCAGCATCATAGTTCCAAGCCTCATGCTTTCCTTGCTGATACTCCTCCATCATCTTAAGACGTGCTTTGCCAAAGTAATACATTGCAGCATCAATAGCCTCGTTCCCAGCCTCCTTCAAGGTACTCTTCAGTTTATCTCATTCAGCAATGCACTCCTTGTGCTTAGCCTGTTAAGCTTTCAGCGCATCAGTAGCAGCCTTGTATTTGTCAGATAGGGCATCACGCTTCTTCTTCATAGCATCATACACCCGAGTGAATTTCGATACCTTGCCCAATACACCTAGGCAAGATTGAAGACTCTACAAAAACATACCATTAGGTAAGACTGTATAATCTGGTAATATCATTTTATCAATTTTTTTTGGGAGTATACCATACCTGGAAAGAGTACACATTAGCCTCTTGAGAAAAGTCAGCAAAAGTCTGCGAGGACTGACGATCCTTGAAAGATGGAAAGAGCAAGGTATCCACATGAGGAGCCAAAGATTCAAAAGAGAAGTCAGCAGCATCCACGTCAATAGGCATCTCCAGCTTCCTCTTGAGGTTAGTACAAGGTGGAGGTAGAGGAGGACCACTCTTTGGAACAACCATCTTCAACGGGACGTTCTTAGAAGTTTGAGGAGAAGAGCGAGATTTAAGACAACCTTAGAGAGAGGACGATCTAAGGATGTCATGAGACCTTAGTGATCACGAAGTATCTATAAGGAACATGATAGATTCAAAAAGGAATACAGCAAGGAACACAACAGGTATGAGAAGTATAAGAAG